GGCTTAAAGACACATCCCAGAGGAGGAGGCTTTCTCAAAAAGACACGACCCAGAGGTGTTTCTGGTCCCCAAAGGTGTTTCTGGTCCCTACTTGTCGTTTTGCTCCTCAGCATGGCTGCCTAAAAACACTGCAGGATTTCTCAAATAGGGCTGGGTTTTAAAAAAAATAAATCGATTTAATCGATCTGGATCTATTTTCGTTCAAATTTGGGAAAATCGATTCATAAGTCATGAGATCAATTTTTCCCCGTGGGAGTTGTGTGCGATGAAGCTGCGCGTTTCCATGCTGTGTGTCACTCCTGGCTTGCCGTAGGTTTACAGCCGATGAGCGCTAACATTAGCTCCTGACAACAAGTTGTCTGGGGCAAAACAAAAAAAAAAAAGGAATCAGTAACATTATCATCTGATTCTTAGCTGAACTTAAAGATAACAGAGGCCATGACAACTTTTGTTTGCAAAGATTTGCGCTCGGACGCGGTAGTGGGAAACGACACTTCAAGCGGYTTGAACCAAAACTACAGAATGTAAACATGACTGAAACTGTTCTCCTGTATAAATGTGTGAAAGATGACAGTCTAATAAAATCGTTTAATTTTGTTGCGAATATTATTTATGCATTTTAGAAACATCTTAATGTAATTCACAGTGATGGGATGTTTTAGCTGAAGTACTTTTTTTTCCCTTTCTTCTTAAGTTTTATKGAATAGAAGCTAACAGAAACATTACAAATATAAAATTACCATACTCTCAAAAGAGTGGGCAGAAGTAAACATTTACATTATCCCACCTCTTCTCCTGTAACCTTATTCCATTACTTCTTAATGATCAAGAAAATTATTCTTAAAAAACKAATGTATCCAACAACACTTTCTCTTGCAATTCCTTTTTAGTTTAAACCCTTTGAAACTTGAGACAGTTTTGTTTCAAGATTAAACTCCAATTTACAAGTTTGCCCTTATTGTATATAATTTTACCAATGCACCAAGTTAGAATTAGTTTCTACTATTTACAGAATTGTTTCCTTTGAGAATGTCTTACATATCAAAGTAAATGTGTTACTGCTTCATATCCTTAACTAATTTAAAAATCAATCAAACTGAATCGTGAATTGTCCTGAATCATTGTGAATTGTGAATCAAATCGGGCCCCTGTGAATCGAATCGAATCCATTTGGGAAATCTGAGTCAATACCCAGCCCTATTCTCAAACATGCATGAATGAGTCAAAGTAAGGCTTTGGGCATGTTTTTTTTTTATGAAAGTACAACATTATAACATGATATAAAACTCCAAAAAGTTGATTTTACATGATATTGCCCCTTTAAAGAAGAGCCACAAATGGATGACAAACTGATGAGAAAACACTGCAGTGTCAGTCCACTCCTCTTGTTTTATCATTGCAGAGCTCTTGAGTCATCAGTAAATCCCCCCATAATTCAGAATGAGTCAAATGTTTAAGACAAACACGGAGACCAAGATCATTATTATCTCAGGGCTCCAAACAGGCTTCAATTTAGTTGTGTTTTGAAATACCTTTAAAATGTCAAGACTACATGATTTTAACTTGGTGTTTTAATGTGACGTGAAAAACCACCAATGAAGTTGAATAAAAATAACAAAAAACACCTGAAAGTGTCTTAAAATGAACTTAAACGGTGCTCCAAAACTGCAAACGAAAAATTTACTCTGACCAATTCAAAACRTAAAATAAATTGTTACTCTTTTTTAAACATTAACAAAAAATAAAGAGTGTCAAAAAAGAAGTACTTATTGAGAATAGCACAGGTTTCTGGAAAAGCTAAATACTAGGAACAAAGTAAGATTTGACTGATTTCCTGTTTTGTGAATGTGAAAACATGCATTACAGAAACGACTAAGGGGATGAAGGCAAAAGTGAAGAGAGTTAGTACCTGTTGATGCAATGTACGGGGCCCTGTAGCAAACTGGGAGGACAGCAGAAGAAAGTAAAGAAGTCAAGGCTGACATTCGAGGAGAGAGATAGGTGTTCACACACATTTAGCTAAAGCTTTACAGCAGAGCTGAAGCCAAGTGAAAGAGCAGGGAAACAAAAAGGATTCTGATACATCACATACAAAAGAATAAAAATAAAAAAAAGATGCAGAAAAAGCATGTGACCAAAGACTACCTGTCGTGGCTGTTGGGCAGAGTTCATTTGTGGAGGTGGGGGGGTGGCAAACACAAGAGAAGGAGGCTGCCCAGGCCCGTATGCAGCCTTAAAATAAAAGAAGAGAGAAAAACCATATTAATAAACACAAAAGAAAACTAGAAAAACATTKATTCTACCTGGCAATGGTCCCACCTGTGTCAGTCCAGGGGAGGGAGATGGGTTTGGGACAGTAGTAGGTCCCGTTATAGGTGGTGGCGGTTTGTTCATTTCACGTTCTTTTACGGGTCTGCATTAGGGTGGCGGTGTGTTGCCAGCCTTTCTGAAGGGGAAAAAAAAGCCAAAAATAAAAACAATTGTGTGTTAAACTGGTAACAAAAATACATTAAAAAAAAGTAGCCAAATCTTTGCTTAAAATAAATTTGCCCATGCTAGGTAAATGTATTACTGTAAAAACACACATGAAGTGTGGCACCATCTGATGAAGCAGTGAGGGTGTGGTCTGAAGTTTTGCCAGAGATAACRCCACCACTACCACCCACACTTGAATACAAAATACTTATTGCTTAAAAATAGAAAGCTATTAAGTGTTCTATATTTCAAAAAACAAATTATGTAACTAGTTCCTCACCTTTAAACCCTGACAATGAATAAATAAAAAGTGTACATCTACTAGAAAGGGATAGGATAACACGCAGGGCAGTCATGGTTTAAAAACCCTTGACGATTCTGTCCTCAAACTCCTTTAACTTTTCTGGTTTTCAGTAATTTTAAGAAAATGGACACCTCGGGTCAAAGTTCATTCACTGTGTTAACAGAGGCTTGTTGTGCTAGCTCCATCTGAGCAAACAAACAGGCTGTTCAAACAAGGATTTGTGCCAGAACTACGAGCAGCTTTAATAATCGAGATTAAAATACTCAACAAATTGTCGTTTTAAGCAATTTTAGACAACCATAAAATATTAAAATAATTTAAAACAGAGTACCATTTGCAGACGTGACAAAACAGCATCCACCTGCTGACACATGAACTATAGTTAGCAGTTAGCTAATCTGCCATGCTTCTAGGCTTTACCGCACAACGGTGCTGTATGGTTCAGCTTAAAATAAAGGATTTGTGAACCGTAATTAAAGCCGAAAAGCACTCAACCTAAATATTTTTTGACGTATCAGCCAGGATGCGTGATACAATCAATACTGGCCCGCTAGCGTGGTCGCCTATAAAATGTTAGCCAAGCTAAACGACGTGGTCCGCTTCGKGCATGATCATCTGCAGTTACGCTACGTGGCTTAGACCATATTTGACTTTAGCGTACACACATTTCACTGTAGCATCTGATAAACGGCACATTTTACACAAAAAATACACGAGAACAGCAAATACGGCCGTCCTGACAAAAGTGGAAACACATTTAAGACCGATCAAGTTACGGCGAAGCTATTGTTGGTGAACATTAGCCAGCAGTTTAGCTCTAATCCGTGATGTACAAATATAGGCCCAACGGGCTCTACGTTTAAATYAAACCGTAAAACTTGATTTTTGATCAAGCTGTAAGCAGATATAGTGCATAAACAGACGGGGTCATACCGTACTTTCATAATCGTGGGTACTGTCTCTGCAAGTAAACCCGCTTTTGCGCAGGAAAAACATTTAGGTTAGTGCTAACGATAGGTAGTGACAACGTTGACCGGAAGGGGTGCCTTTTTCGGCACAACACCGGTGAAGATTAGCTACCAGCTGTCATTTGAGCTAACGTCAGGATAACTTCGACCAAGAAGCACAAAAGATGGCCTAAAGTTAAAACAGGCAACGAACGAGCATTAAACTCTTAAAATAAACACAATTCTGTTTTGTTTCGTTTGTTTTCTAAAAYTGGATTAGCTCGCTTGTCATCTGTGTGGACTGACAGTCGGCAGGGCCTGCTCAGCCTGCATGCCTTCGACATTACTCTCGCCCTGCCCCGCGTACTTTAGCTAGCTAGMAACAACACCGTAAAATGAATTCTTACCAGATACCAACAGTGACAGTGTTGTCAGATAGAGGTATCAGCCTCTGATCAGTCCTTTCTTACTGAGTTTCGTAGTTTTCTTGTCCTTCACTTCAACAGACGAGTGATGCCCTTCTTGGCTAGCTAACCGGCAGATGGGGTGAGTGCTACTGTCACTTCGTTTTAAATCCAGGGATGTCCGAAAGTGACAGCGTTCACAAGCTAATAATATAATCTTCAGGAGTACTATTGACCTCTCCGATGACCCCCGAAAAAGCCTCTGGACCACAGGTCCATGRTCAAGGCGTCGATGGTGACGGATTGCCGGTTGTGTGTGTGCACAAGTCTCGTAYGAGGAGGCTCAGAGAGAGGCCATAGTGCGCTGTTTCTGCTGTGTGGAGCCGGTGCGCCTCCGAGCCGCGTGGGTGACTTCAGGGGAAATGACAATTTGATGCCGATGCCTTGGTCATGTGATGCAGGAAGGAACTCGAATCATTTTAGCTCTGTGAACAGTGAGTGGATGGTTTTATCAAACGTAACAGAGAATTTAACAAGTTAGGCTCGTTGTCTCTAAATTGCCAGGCCAGCATTGTAATTAATACTCTTTTTTTTGTTAAATAAAAGCTAAATAAAAAYATTACAAGAGAGTATAATTTACGTATTTATTATTTTTGTTTTGTATTTGAATTAACCTAGCTGTCATGTAGACACATTTAAATTTCTACATTTCACGGACTTTCAGAATAATTTAGAGTAACTTGTTTTGTTTAATAAAAGCTAAATAAAAATATTACAAGAGAGTATAA